CAAGATCCCAACACACAGCTTCCCAGCCCAGCTGTCCTGTCCTAAGATACCTCAACATCTGATTCTAAAACCTCCCCCATCAAGTGAGTTCTGTGTCCCCACAGCTGCTTGGCCCCTGGCATGCCTTCTCCTTCGCTTCTATTCTGGCCCTGCCCCCAGGAGAACCCCAGGTCCTCAGACCATGAGCCCCATCCCCATGAGAACCACCTGAATCCAGAATGACCATCATTCCACCTTCCCTCCTCCCGAGCTCCCTCCCAATCTGACCCCAACCTGGTTCCAGAGCCCTAACTCCTCTTAGACTGCCATTCCTGGATTGCAGGACTCTGACCCTCACAGGACTCCTTTCCCAGCCTAATCCTTTTATTCAACCTTTGATCCAGAACCCCAGACTCTCCCAAATCCCCCAGCCCCAATCCAGGAGTCCCCAGATCCCTGATGCTTTTCTTGGCCCCTCTAACCTGAATCCGCAAATATGTGTTCTTTCCAGAGCCCAGACAGTCAGACCCTGCCCTAAAACTTTCATCAGCCTGGGAGCCCTTCCATCCTCCCATCCCTTCCCCTGCAGTCTCGGGACCCAGCCTCCTGGGGCCTTTAATCCTCGGTTTCCCCTCCCAGAGCCCAGAGCCTCCCATCCTCCAATCCAAGAAGCCAGGCCACCAGACCCCACACCAGATGCCTGCTGCACATGCTGTCTTGTCATTCCCTCCCTAAACCCCGGGGTCAGCTCTCTGCTCTGCAGTCTCCACTCCCAGGATCACTGCCAACACCACCCCACCACCCCAGGGATGGCCCCCAGAATTCCAGGCCCTTCGCACGGCCCCTGGCCCATGTCCTCAGACCCCCCACCAGGTCTGGTCGGGCACCCCCAAGGCCCTGCAATCCCACAGCTGGGGCCCTTCACCCCACTGCGTTGCCCCCCTCCCTACATGACCCGGCACACCCCCTCCGCAGGCGCAGTGCACCGCATTCAGTCCCGGATCATCGGAGGCCAGGAGTGTGAGAAGCATTCCCAGCCCTGGCAGGTGGCTATATACCACTTCAGCACCTTCCAGTGCGGGGGCGTCCTGGTGGCCCCCCAGTGGGTGCTCACAGCCGCTCACTGCAAGAGCGAGTGAGTAGGGGCAGGGGGTCTGGAGGGGGCCCCGTGCACACAGGATGAAGCGGCCAGCACTGACCCTTGGGTGGGCTTCCCTGGTGGCTCAGACGGGAAAGAGTCTGCCCGCAATGCTGGAGGCCTGGGTTCGATCCCTGGGTCGGGAAGATCCCCTGGAGAAGGGAATGGCAACCCGCTCCAGTATTCCTTCCTGGAGAATCCCATGGACAGAGGAGACTGGCAGGCTACAGGTTGCAAAGGGTCAGACACGACTGAGCAACTAACATGCCCATGCAGGCACTGTCCCCTCAGATAACCTCAGGGGAGCCTGGGGACCTCAGGCAGAGACGGGGGTGGGAGGGGGTTGTGGTCCAGGGCCACAAGGCGAAAGAGAGGCAGGGCTGGGACTGGATGACCCCAGGGAAGCCTGCTCCACGGCTGCCTCGGCCTCTTGCATCAGTCCTCCTAACTGTCCCTCTGTCTTTCTATGGCTCCCTCTGTCCTGTCAGTCTCTCACTGGTTCTGTGTGTCTGTGACGACGATTTATGTCTATCTCCCTCTCACTTCTGTCTCCATATCTCTGTCTCTCTCCCTGTCTCTGTCCATCTCAAGGTCTCTGCTACCATCTTTATCACCTATGTCTCACCCTCCATCTCTCTGCCCTGCCCCCATCTCTCTGTCTCTCTCTGTTTCTGTCTGTCTGTCTCTGTGTCTGTCTGTCTCTCTCTCTTTTTCTGTCTGTCTCTGTCTCTCTGTCTCTGTGTCTGTCTGTCTGTCACTCTCTCTCTGCCCTCTTCCATCACTACTGAGCACGCCTCCTCCCCAGAGAAACGGATGAGACTGTCCCCATCTGTGTATTGAGGGGTAGCTCTAAGAGGACACAGAGCAGGGCTGCTGTCAGCTGGAGCTGGGGAGGCGGGGACAGTGGAGGGAAGGAGGAAGAAAAGGGAGGGAAGGAGCTGGGGCAGGAAGGGGACGCGACCTTGGGCCGGGGGCCAGGCCACCTGCCCGCCGGGGATCCAGCCCCGGAGCCTCGCTGCAGCTGATCTGGTCCCAGGCCCCGCCCCCTCCCGCCCCGCCCCTCCCCTTCCCCCTCCCCCCTCTCTTTTCTCTGTCAAAGTCTCCGCGCCTCGCCTCCCCAGCCTCTGTTGCTCATTCTCTCTTCCTCCCTTCTCGGGTGGCCCCGTTTTCGCTCTCCTTGCTCCTTCCGTCCTTGTCCTCCCTTCCTCTTTTTTTTTTTTAGTCTATTTCCGTCTCGGTCCCTTCCTCGCCTCCTGTGTGCTCTGCCTCTCTCTCTGCCTCTCCTCCGTCTTCCCATCCCCTCTGCTGTTCCAAGCTCTTTTTCACTCCGTTTCTTTGTCTCTGTCTGTGACATTGTCACATTCTCTTATTTTTGCACTCACTCTTCTCTGTTTTCTGTGACTGTATCTTTCCTGTCTCTCTCTCCTGCGCCCCCCCTTTCCTGTTTCTCTTTGGACCCCTCCTCATGCTCTCCTGCTCCATCTCCCTTTCCTCCCCCATTGCTTGCTTGTCAGTCCTGTCCGACTCTTTGTGATCCCAGGGACTGTAGACCGCAAGGCTCCCCTGTCCATGGAATTCTCCAGGCAAGAATACTGGAGTGGGTGGCCATTCCCTTCTCTAGGGGATCTTCCCGACCTAGGGATCGAACTCGGGTCTCCTGCATTGCAGGCAGATTCTTTTACCGTCTGAGCCACCAGGGAAGCCCTTCCTGTCCCCCACTCCCACCCCCATTCTCAAGGTCTCCATCCTCTCCTTCCTCCAGCAATTACCAGGTCTGGCTGGGTCGCCACAACCTGTTTGAGGACGAAGACACGGCCCAGTTCGCCGTTGTCAGTGAGGCCTTCCCAAACCCCGGATTCAACCTAAGCCTCCTGGAGAACCACACCCGCCAGCCAGGAGAGGACTACAGCCACGACCTCATGCTGCTCCGTCTGCAGGAGCCCCTCCAGCTCACAGAGGACGTGCAGGTCTTGAGTCTGCCCACCGAGGAGCCCCAACTGGGGGCCACCTGCCTCGCCTCCGGCTGGGGCAGCATCAAGCCAGATGAGTGTATGCCGGGGTCCAGACGGTGCACGGGTTGTGCGGGAGGCGGGGGCTGGGGACCTGGCCTCCAGAGTCTGAGGGAGTAGGGCTGAGGGTATGGAGTCTGGCCGCAGCCGCGTCTCTCCCTGGCCCGTAGTCTCTTACCCAGACGATCTCCAGTGTGTGGACCTCACCCTCCTGCCCAATGAGAAGTGTGCTGCAGCCCACCCCCAGGAGGTGACAGAGAGCATGCTGTGTGCTGGACACCTACAGGGCGGCAAGGACACCTGCGTGGTGAGCCAGCCTGACCCCCACAACCCACCCTGGGGCCTTGAAGTACTGGAGGAGGGGGCTCAGATTCTGGGCTGGGGTTCAGAGCTAAGCAGACATCCGTCTCCATCGCTTCGCAGCTGTAGCTCGTTGCCCCCTTTCCTTCCTGTATCCCCAACTTCCACACACATCACAGTTCACGCATTCCTCCCTCTGACACATATTTCTGGTCCAGTCAGAGAAAGCCTCAGAGGTGAGCTTGAGGGTGGGCGGGTCCTGTAGGGTGCTGCTCCTCCTCCGCACTGACCCGCCTGCCAGGACCATCTTGCTCCTGAATCCTGCCCCCCTGGGCAGACATTGGACCCTGAGGCCCCCTCGCCATCAGCAGGACTCGAGCCACTGTCCCCTCTGTTGGAATCCACGCTGATGTTCTTCAGGGAGTGGGCTCTGGGGACAGCTGTCTCTTTCTCCAGACATGGGGAGTTACTGTCTGGATCTCTGCACTCGCGTCCAAGGGCTAGAGCTCACCAGGGAAAACCCTCAAGCCTTTCCTAACCTCTCTCACACTCTCCCCTCCCCCTTTGTGCCGTAGGGTGACTCAGGGGGCCCGCTGATCTGCGAGGGTATGTTGCAAGGAATCACGTCATGGGGCCACATCCCGTGTGGCTCTCCCAATAAGCCCTCCGTCTACACCAAAGTGATTTTGTATCTGGATTGGATCAATAAGACCATGACTGACAACCCCTGAATGCCCCCACCCTGTCCCTTACCCCCAGTAAAATCGAATATGCATCAAACTCGCATCAAGTCCTGATGTCGTTCGGGATTTCCAGACGCTGGACACCTGGGAACTCGGGGACCATCCGGCCCGGACTAGAGCCTCCCCAGCCCTTCCGGACTCTTGGCGGGAGATATGCAGTTACGAACAGCGGGGAAAGGAAGGGTCAGAGGCCGGTGTAGACAGAAAAGCTCAGACCCCAAAGGGCAAGGCAAGGACTCTGAGCCCCACTCTTCCTTGGAGGGAGAGCAGGAAACGGAGGCTCGGACTCTGAGAAAAGGAACCCACGTTTTATTGGTGGCTGGGAAAGCCAGGAACATGAAGGAGGGTGGAAATGTAATTGCAAGCCACGCCCCCCCAGGGTAGGGCCTGTTCCACCGAGGAGCGGGGCGACATCCAACGCTGGGCAGTGTCATGTCGGTCTGGGGGGCCAGACTGGACGTTCTGGGCCAGTGCTGGCCCTCGGAGGGGTAGGAATGCCTATAATGGAGTGAGGCTTCGGGCCACCGCCAGTGAGAGCTGGACACCCGGGGGCAGGGCTTCGCTAGAGTCGGGGGCGGGGCCTCGCAAGACTCGAGGGCGGGGCCACACCGCTCGGGCGCGCGCAGAAAGCGAGGGGCCGGCGTCGGACTTCCGGGGTGGGGGCAGGGAGAGACTCGCTGGGCGGGAAGGCCAGGGTGAAAGGGGTGGTCGCCCGGCACCTGGCGGCAGTTACGAGTCAGTGTCCTGAGAAGCTCGGGTGCCGCTGGCTTCGAGAGGCTTGGACGAGGCTGGGCGGGGGGGGGGGGGTGGGGGGGGGCGGGGGGCAGGCTCTTAAACGGACAGGTCTTCTGTGTGCTTGGACCCTGCATCCGATGGCGGTTCGGATATGGACTTCCGGGTGCTCTGCAGCGAGGCCCACCGGCGATAGCTCATCCGCCGTTCCATGGAGGGCGTCCCTTTGCCCCACATGCCCATGTAGTTTAAGTAGCTCAGGATTCCTGGTGGCGGGAGTGGGGGTGCTAGATGGCCCCCTAGGCCCCAGCCCGTCCCTGTAGGCTGACCTCCCGTGGGGTCCACCCCAATCCCGTCCGAGGCCCTGCCTGCTACGCTCGCCCCGGGCCTCACCCCCTGCCCCGCCAAGACCCCGCCCTCACCGGCCCACAGCATCAAGGCGCCGGCACCCCAGCTCAGGTAGGTGGTCACCAGGTAGGATATGTGTGGCCTCGGTTGGAGCATCTCGCAGTTGGCTATAAAGAGCGTCAGGCTGAGGAGAATCAGGAGCCCTGCACTGAGATGGGGCCAGAGATGGCCACGAGGCTTGACAGGGACCCAGAGACCTCCAGAAAGAGAAGCGAGCCAGAGACATCCTCTCCCACCCAGCATGACAAGCGTGCCCGCGCGCGCGCGGACACACACATACACGACAGAAAGATACCAGGAGCAGGGAAACAGGGAGAGTGAGGGATATAGCAGTTAGAACTAAGAAACCTACAGCAAGATCCGTGGGGGTGAGGCGCAGAGCTCAAGAGACATTCAAAGAGACCCAGCAGGACAGAAATTCTGGGACACCCCTCCCCGAAGCCTTTTCCCAGGGCAACACTTACCAGTGAAGGAGCTGAGGGTACTGAAGACGAGGTCAGTCTTGTTAAGACGGCGGAGCGCTGGCCGGAAGGAGAAGCCCATGGCAAAGAGGAGGACTAGAGACAGGATCATGGCCAGGATCATGAAGCCCATGCTCATGTGGATGAGAACTGGGGGGAAAGGAGGTAATGCCCCAGATTCACCCCTAGATACTCTCCAAGGTCACCCTCCAAAGTCTTCCCCAACAGACACCCCTGAAGTTTAGCTACAGACATCCTCAACTTCGCCCCCAATGCCATCACCAAAGTCACCTCCTAGAAACTCTAAGATGATTCCCACTCTCACAAAGTCCATGTACCCATAAAATCAACACAAAATCATCCCCACTTTCTTTTAAAAAGTGTGAATCGCTGTGTTGTACACCTGAAATTTATATAATGTTGTAAATAAACTATACCTCAATTTTAAAACAAGTTATCCCCACTTGTACCCTCAAAGTTGTCCCAAATCACCCCCTCTTACCCCAAAGTCAACCCGTCACTCTCATAATCAACTCCACACATACCTCTAAGGTCACCCCACAGATGATCCCTGAGTCACCCCCAACCATATCCTCAAGTTCAGCCCACAGAATCATCTCTAGTATTTCTAGAATTATCCCCACAGACACCCCCAAAGTTACTCTGCTCGTACTCCCAAAAGATTTCCCACAGCAGATCACATTTATACCCTCAATACTAATCCTACACCCCCAGTAGCACCTTTGAAGTTACCCAGGACAACTCAGCCACTTTCATTATCTGTAAAGTCACCCTACTTCTCTCCCACTCATATCCCAAGGTTCCCTAATGACCCCATTCACTTCCCTAGGCATCCCCAGATATACCAAGGTCACCCCCACTCACACCCTAGAGCCCCTCACAGACATTCTAATAACCCCCCAGACGTCCCCCAGAGCACACACACAGATATATACACAAGAAAACTTCCAAAAACTCTAAAAAAGTACCTAAAAGACATAATCACACACTCAGTTTGAAATTTCAGTTTTCATTTCAGCATGACAAGAGTTTCAGCCCCTTCTGAGAATTACATATCTTCCTTTTAGCCCTTTCCTACGTTAACTACTTTTGAACAGTGCAAGACTGTTTCATCCAAATGAGCTAAAACTCCATCTGCTTTGTTACTGGCAAACCACATGCATATACAAAATATAAGTAGTGCTCTCGGGATCAATCACATTATCCTGGTTGACAACATACTCTGCCCTCTGAGATCACAGACATACTCTGCCCTCTGGGATCACAGAAGTAGTCATGTGACTCAGGCTGACTCAGTCACGGTGCCCCAGTGACTTAAGGCAGTGGTGATTGGCTCAAACATGGGTACATGAACCGAGGCCAACCAATCAAACTCTTCCCTGGGACTTTTTCTAACTGAAACTATCAGGTACCAGCTCTTTCTTCTCTAATCAAGAGGATTATGAGCTTGGAGCTGCCTGAGACTTAGATCCAGCCTCATGGAATCCAGCCAACCACAGAATGACATCATCCTAACCACAACAAAATGGTTCAGGAAGTGAGAAATCTCAGGGTAGTAAATCTGGTCCCATTGGAGCTAATCCTGAGACCCTCATGTGAGGGCCACTTCTGTGGACAACTTACTTTCTTTTCTCCATGGTTGTTTACAGGAAAAACAAAATGGGACCCCAGAAGCTGCAGACAGCCCCTCTGCCGCTATACAGCACAGCTTGCCTGAGGGCCCAGCACACAGGAAGCCTTCAAGGAGAGATGGCAAGAGACACCTTTTGAGCACCCGGATCCAGCAGTACCTGAACCCAAACAATTTACGCCTGTGGACTTTTCTGTAACTTGAAACGAGCTTGAGTTTGAGAGGTATAAGAGAAAGAGATGTCCCAAGTAAGTAAGATTAATGCTACACAATGTTCTCAAAGTTTTATGAGCACTTATTTGCGATCTGAAATGAAGGTAGGTGGGACAAAATCCTTATGACAATAAGACACCTGGATGAAACACTTACTGTAATATGCACCAGGTGCTATTCTAATTCTTTTGTGTGCTTTAACTCACGTATTCCTCACACAGCCCACAGATAGGTACCAATATCACTGGCATTATAGAAATGAGGAAGCCAAGCCACACAAGGGTAAAGAAATATGCCCAAGATCACTCAGCCACCAAGTAGCTTAGCCAGGGTTCAAGCTCAGGTGCTCTGGCTCCAGGGTCTGGGCTGCCTCTGTGGTAACGCTCAAAAGCACTGGAAAAGCAGAGACCTATAAGGAAGAAAAATGTTTCTGGGCTTCCCTGGTGGCTCAGCAGTAAAGAATCCACCTGCCAAATGCAGGAGACACAGGTTCGATCCCTGGTCCGGGAAGACTTCCACATGCCTCGGGGCAACTAAGCCCGTGTACCACAACTACTGAGCCTGTGCTCTCGACTCCAGGAGCTGCAACTACGGGAGCCCACCCGCCCTAGAGCCTGTGCTCTGCAACAAGAGGAGCCACTGCAGGGGGAAGCCCACGCAGCAGTGAAGACCCAGCACAGCCAAAAACAGATTGTTATTTAAAAAAATTCCTGAAGGAGCTAGAAGCCTCTTGCTTTCTTTCTTAAATAAATAAATAAAATAAAATAAATAAAAAGAGTGGGAGAGAGAATGATGGTGTCTTTAGCCACCTAATCATGAAGCAGATTGGGGTTTGGCCAAGTGTAGCAAGCACTCTTCTTCCCGAGCACAAGGCCACTCCCGTTGCCTCATAAGCTGCATACAACTCCAGGAAGCTCCCTCCCAAGGCCTTCAGAGAATTTGTAGAGAGCCCCTCAAGAATCCTAAAGATTGCCCTGGCAACCAAGAACACCCAAAGAGGTTCCCCCAGAGGTGCTCTCCCTTGATCATCTCTAGGACCACCACCCCACAAGCGCCCCACTTCTGCCCCGTCTCCCACTGACCCGTGACTTGGTGCAGGTCAGCACACATGTGCTTCCTGCAGTTGGTCCAGAAGCCCACGTAGCCAGTGTAGGAGCCGTACAGGTAGGCCATACGCCCGTCCAACACGCTGAGCAGCATCATGGTTGCCAGGACGATGAAGATGAGACACCAAGCTCGCAGGACGAACTTGCGGTCCTCTTCCCATGAAGAGACCGGTTCCACTGGGGAAGAACAGAGTTCCTGGGGCCTGGCTCAGCCTGCATCACTCTGTTACATCCTAGTTTCCACCTTCCAACACAATCGCATCCCCCCCGCCAGCCCGCCACCCTCACCTTGCCTGTTACCCTGTACTCAGCTCCCCTCCACCCACAGCCATCTTCCATCCCCGCCCAAACCCCAATCCCAGCTGCGTCCCCATCTCTGCTTCCTGTCCCATCCCAGCACCATCCACAACCCCATCCATCTCCAGGACGCTCCCTGTCCTAAACCCCAAACACAACTCCATTCCCATTTCTGACCCTGATGGCGCAAGTCACCTCCCACCTACAACCCATCCTAAACCCAAATCTAACCTCATCTTCTGTTCCCTCTTTCCCCAAATCTCAGCTCCCAACATCATCCCACTATCTTCATCCCTGTCTCAGATCCCAACCCAGGACACGGACAGCTGTGACACGGGCTCCAAAGGGTGCTTACAAGGCCAAGACCCATGATGCCCAAAGAGTGACCACCAGGGCTTCCCTGCTGGTCCAGTGGCGAAGAATTTGCCTTGTGATGCAGGGGACACCCGTTGGATCCATGATCCGGGAAGATCCCACATGCCTCGGAGCAGCTAAGCCCGTGCATCACAACTACCGGGCCTGTGCTCTAGAGCTGGGAGCCACAACGGTAGAGTCCATGTGCTGCAATTACCGAAGCCCATGCCCCGAGAGCCCGAGCTCCCCAGCAAGACACGCCACTGCAATGAGAAGCCTGCATGCTGCAACTAGAGAGCAGCCCCCGCTTTCTGTAACTAGAGAAAGCCCTCAGGCAGCGATGAAGACCCCGCAGAGGCAAGAATAAGAGTGAACACGGGTGGTGCACCCAACAGTCACCAAGGACTGTGGGAAGAGACCCAGTCTTCTGCGAGATTCAGGGAAAGGTTAGGAGACACAAAGGCAGAGGAGAAGTAAAGACAGCAAGAAGATGTAGAACTTGAGATGTGAAGAAAGGGATGAAATTGATTTGCAGAAGGTCCTGGGGGAGAGGGGAAGGGTGGGAACAGGCAGGGGGAAGGAATTAGAGATTCAGATCTCAGGCCCTCCAGAAACTGCCAGATGTGGCCCATGACCCAGCACTGACTTTGCCATGTCTGGCCCTGACCCCACTCTGGTCCCCCGCTTACCCCCTGACCCCACCCTGGCCCCTCTGTGATCCTGCTCTGCCTTCACCCTGACCAATCCCAATTCTCTACCCCTAACGCTGCCCTGTCCTGACACCTCTCTGACCCAGCCATGACCCCTTTCTTGACCCAATCCTGACCCCACCCAGACCCTACCCTGAGCCCACTCTGACCCAGCCCGAGCCCCCACATCTCTCACATGGGGCTAGAGTAGAACATGAGTCCATGGCCAACGTCCCAACCTCCTGGAACCCCTCCAACTGTCATGGAACGCCCCCCCCACAGACCCAGCGCCAGGCCAGACTAAAGCTCCGAGGCCTGCCTGGGGACAAAGAGAGGCCACGACTGACAGGGGAGGGGACAGAGAGATTCAGACCCTGAGGGACAGAGCCGGAGGCCCAGGAGGGACCAACGGGCTCCCAGGAGGACGTGGTGATGGTTGGCACAGGAGGATGAGGCCGCTGGCAGGGTGTTGAGTGCATCGGGCACTGGCCTTGGCCCACATCTCCACATGGCCCAGAGGTCCCATTCTGGTGAACAGAGTGCTCAGCCAGGTTCCCTCCCAGCTGCTCCCAGCAGCTCCCAAGGTGAGACACAAAACCTTTCGTCCAGCACCTTCAGGTCCCGGCTCAGTAACCAAGACTCTCAGTCCTGCCCCCAGACTCACCGGGTCAGCATCCAAGAGCCCCTGCCTATTGTCCACAGTCGCCGGGTCAGTATCCAAGACTCTCAGCCCAGCACCCCGACTCGTCGGGTCAGCATCCAAGAGCCCCTGCCTATTCTCTACAGTCGCCGGGTCAGCATCCAAGAGCCCCTGCCTATTGTCCACAGTCGCCGGGTCAGCATCCAAGACTCTCAGTCCAGCACCCCAACTCGCCGGGTCAGCATCCAAGAGCCCCTGCCTATTGTCCACAGTCACCGGGTCAGTATCCAAGACTCCCAGTCCAGCACCCCAACTCGCCGGGTCAGCATCCAAGACTCTCAGTCCAGCACCCCAACTCGCCGGGTCAGCATCCAAGAGCCCCTGCCTATTGTCCACAGTCGCCGGGTCAGTATCCAAGACTCCCAGTCCAGCACCCCAACTCGCCGGGTCAGCATCCAAGACTCTCAGTCCAGCACCCCAACTCGCCGGGTCAGCATCCAAGAGCCCCTGCCTATTGTCCACAGTCGCCGGGTCAGTATCCAAGACTCTCAGTCCAGCACCCCGACTTGCCGGGTCAGTATCCAAGACCCTCTATCCATCAACAGTCAGCGACTCAGTATTGAGGACACGACACCCGTCATCGGCTCTCACCAGGCCAGCATACAAGACCCACCATCCGTCATCTACAGCCGCCAGTTCCACACCCGAGATGCGCCCCCAGTTTTCCAAAGTCGCTTCTTCAGCAACCAAAACCCCCTGCTAACTACTCGCACCCCTCTGACCAACATAAAATCAGTGACCTACCACAGCCAACTTAGTGTCCAGAGTCCCCAGTTAAGTCTTCAAAGCTCCACTTCACCAGTGCGGGCCAGAGTCGATGTCCCCCTTTCAATTACTCACAGTCCTGAGGCCAGTATCAAAAGTGTCGAGTCAATTGTCTGGACCTCCCAGGAGACCATCAGAGACTCTTCGACCAGCTCCCAAATCAGCCAGTCCATCCTGGAAAACAACACTCAGAACTTACCATCAGCCTCCTTCGAGAACAGTGCTGGCAGGTGAGAGGCAGGGGTGCAGGGAGTAGGGCGGATTTGGGGTCCAGAGTTCTAGGGGGTGGGCTATCAGGCAAAAGTCAGGGATCAGGGAGGCATGGTCAGTATATGAAGTAGAGGTTGGACTCAGGGGTAGCAGGGATGAAGGCTGGCCCTGGGTAGGGCATGGCATAGAGCCTGGACTTGTGATTCCACACAGCGATTGGAAGGGGCGGTGGCAGCTCCTAGAAGCTAGGAACTGGCCAGGGAGCCTTGAGGCTGTTCTGGGGGTGAGCAGGTCCTAGAGGGGGGACCTGGGGGATACAGGGCATGGAGAATGGACACAGGGAAGAGAGAGTCTGAACATCAGATTGGCCGGGATTCTGGCAGTTGGACCTGGAAGCCGGGCGGGGCGGGGGGGCTCAGCTGGGCTGGCCGGCTGGACCTGATGCTGACACTGGTGGTGGACCACCCACTGCAGGTGTCTGGACAAGTATAGGCTCAGCCATTCTCAGCTGCCCATGGGCTGGTGGCTGCTGCATGAGGCCAAGAGGATCAGCCGCCAGCTGAACCTACTGCTGAGCCTGGCCAGCATAGTCATCATCGGCCTCATCTCTCTGGGCCAGCCCTGGATCCACTTCCAGGTGCCCCTGGCACTCCCTGGGGACCCTGGCTTCCGAACCATCTCCATCGACACCATCTTGTTCATCCGCTGCCCGGATGTGGCCTGCATGCACGAGTATGACCAGAATGCTTGTAAGGCCTGCCCTATGCTCACTATTCCTGGGGCCCCTCTTTCCTCTTTGTTCTGGGGACACCCCCCCCCCGCCTTCCTGCCTCCCCTGGGTTGGTCCTCCCTCCCCTGGGTTGGTCCTCCCCCTCCCCATGGCGGGTCCTCCCTTTTCCCAGGAGGGTCCTCACCGCCTCAGAGCCATCCTCACTGTCCTTTGCTCATTCTCACCTATGTGATACCCATCCTCACAGCTCTCACGACCTTAGCATCTTACTATCCCTGAGGAATCTGTCCATATGGCGTCAAGCTGGCTCCTCAGTGCCCACCCTGCCCGTCACTGTCCAAGAACCTGTCCTTACTGACCTGGAGGTGCATACCTCAACGCGGAAGGCATCTGCCTCAACCTCCCTTCTCCGGAGCCCAGTTTCAATTTTCTTATAATATAGCAGCGGGGGGAGGGGGGGGGGGACAAAGAATTCTCAAGGGAGAGGGCTTAACAATGCTCCTAGGCTCCCTGGAGACCTTCTCCCCACCATGTTCGGGGCCTGAGGGCCTATCCCGGTGTTCCTGCTTCTCTTCCTTGCCCAGACTTGCTGGACCTTACCTGGGCCTTCCTCCTGGTTGCCAGCGTGACCAACTTCATCCTCTGCATCATTCTAATAAACATCATCTTCTCCACCAACTCCAACGTGCCCTTGCTGGACTTCTCCAATGTCATCATCACTGCCCTCACAGGCACGGTGCTGAGACCCCCCCAGAGGAGCCAAGTCAGAAGTGCCCAGTGCCCGTCCTGATACCCCAGCTCCAGTCCCACCCCCATCCTCGCCCTGCAGCCCCACCCCAAGCCTGTCTCCCTCCACATCTCCACTCCATCCCAGGACAGAAGATCGGTTTCCAACCCAACTTCTCCAGCCCCGACACCAGCCTTCACGTCGCCTTCCGCCTCCACCAGCACACCTCCAATTCATTCATATTGCTGTGTGTGATATCCGTTCCCATCCCCACGCCCACTCCGACATTACCTTCTTTCCAGCCTCCAAACTATCCCCCTTACCATCTCTGACCCCTTTACAAACCTCGACACCAAAGCTCCATGCCTAACCCTCCTCAAGACTCATGCCAAATTCCACCCACCCCTGTCCCCTATGAGTCTCAACCTCCAACTCAAGCCCCATCCATCTCTGATCCTGTCTTCTTCATCCCCAACCTCAACCACCACCACACCCTGGTCACCTGTGACTCTAGCTCTCAGACTCAACCCGATGCATTCCCAACCCCATCTTCTCACCCGTCTCCAATCCATCCCCATTCCCAACCCCCTCCAAACCTGAGTCCATCCCTCAAATATCCACTACCCCAATACTCAACCCCATGTTCAGTGTCAAGTCCATCCCAGACCCTGTCTCACCACCACCACCACCAGCTCTGATTTTGTTCAAGCTAGGTCACATCTCTGAGCCACACTCTTCTCATCTGTAGCAAGGGGGTAACATTTCCTGCCATATGGAGACACAGGGAGGGCTGAATGAGAAAACATCTGTACATGATGGTAGCTATTTAGCTTTGCACACAGTCTTGCATGATAGTCCTCTCACTCTTTTCCAAATAACTCAAAATCGATATTCTGATTAGAATAGTTTGGTTTTCCATTTGCGTGCCAAGTTACGCTTTTTTTGGAAAAGTAGTGCAGGGGTGGGGAGGGGATGGGGGGGAGGGTCGTTTTAATTTGGAAATGAAGGATATTGTGTTCCTGTCTCCTGTAAAAATGGACCACAACAGTCTGTTGCATCAATAGAACATTTTTGGAGAGTGATAGTAAGGCCAACAAGAAAGAATACCCAGCTTCCTGTTTTCTTGTTAGTAAAAGGTATTTTATCCAGTTTGTCCAGTAACTCTTCCTGATTGTTTAAGGGACAAAGTGTAGAACATCTCTGTAAAACATCTCTGCTTTATGTCATCTAAAATAGGACATTTCTCCAAAGAAAAATCACAGCTGGGACTTCCCCAACTGTCCAGTGGTTAAGACTCCATGCTTTCAGTGCAGGAAGAATGGGTTCTGATCCCTCATTGGGGAACTGAGATCCCTTGTGCCACTGGACGCAGCCAGAAAAATATATATATATATATATATATATATATTTTTACCCATTCCACCTTTTAATTAGATGGAAAGCACTTATCTCCTATATTATTTTTTAAAACCATAAAAATTACCCTATTCTCCACTACAGGAGGGGAGGAAAAAGAGTCTTTTCCTTTTCACAAATTGTCTTTTTAAGATTTATTTTTTGTTTATCCTGATGGGTCTTTGCTGCCGCACGTGGGCTTTCTCTGGTTGCAGTGAGTGGGTGCTACTCTTCATTGACTGCACGGGCCTCTCCTGGCGGTGGCTTCTTAGCACGGGCTCCGGGGTGAGCAGTCTTCAGTAGTTGAGGCACACGGGCTTAATTGCCCCACAACATGTGGGATCTTCCTGGAGCAGGGATAGAACCCATGTCCGCTGGATTGGCAGGCGGATTCTTAACCACTGGGCCACCAGGGGAAGTTCACAAATTACATTCATGTCATTTCAAAATAAAATTAAAATATCCAGAATGACTAAGTTTCTTGTCCACTGCTTCAGAAGCCCAAAATTAAAGACCCAATAGAGCAACGATAATCTCAGTTTTTGAGGACCCACTGTGTGCCAATCTCAATAACTCCTCGTGACGGCCCAAGGAGATGGGTCCTACGACTACTCCCATTTTACAGATGAGGGAAATGAGGCTCAGAGAGATGGGAGTGGCTGCCCTGAGGTGGGGGATACAGAAGCAAGACAAGAGCTCCAGTCTGCTAACTCCAAGGCCTGTGGTTTTAGACATCACCATTGCCTGGTTAAAGAGCCAAGCCTTGCCCTTACCCACGTCCTCCACCATGATACTGTCAGGAGCCAGTTTTCCTGCCTGTGAGCAGAGGTTCATGAAGGTGAAAGCAAGTGGGAAAATAAGGAGCAAGACCCTGGCAGCCACGCAGCTCTGGGCAGGGGTCCTGACACATGTGCCGCCTGGCCTCCTAACACCTGTACTCACGCAGGGACCAGCATGATCCTGGGTATTCTGTTCTACCTGATGCAGGCCCGGGAATACCTGCAGGAAGGCATGACCTACAAACTGGGGTGCAGCTTCTACCTGGCATGGACCGGAGTCTTCTTCTTTGTGATGATTGGTCGGGCCCAGGGCGGGGTTGGGGTTCGGGGCTTGGGCATGGGTTCCAGGATGCAGATGGGGACCGGGGTGGGATAGATTTGGGATAGGGTGAGCTTGTGGACAAGGAGGACTGGACTGAGGAGGGAGATGGGGTTGGGTTGTAGGGGCGGGGTTGGGGTTTGGATTTGGGAGTGGGTTGGGGACCACGTAGGGGTATGGGGCTGAGTTTGGGTTTAGACCTGAGTCTGGGGACGTGATAGGGAGCGTAGCTGGGCTTGGAGAAGCGACTGGCGTCAGGCTTGGGCTGGTGAACTCTGCGCCTCACCCTCTCTGCTCTCTTTCTTCCCCCAGGTCTCTTTTCCTATTTGAACTACATAAATTTCTGGTCCCTCCTGGCGAACCAGGCCATCTGGACTTAAGAAGTGGGGGTGTGCCCCGCCTCCTCTGCTCACGCGGCTCCCTGCCAAGCAACCTGCCAGCCCTGCTCTCTAGCCCCCAACCCCCACCAAGAGTCTTGCCCTTTTTTCAGTCCCCTCTGAAATTCCTCCAACTCAGATTAATGATGTGTATTTTCAAATAATCTGTATTTCTCACCTAGAACGTTCGTTTATTTCAGTACCTTGTAAGCATTCCCTGGAAATGCCATGCCTCCTTGGGGGCCCTCTGGGGGAGAGGGATGGGTGGGGGAGGGCCTTGGGGGAAAGAGATGGGAGAGGTTCTTGGCATACAGATGGTGCTCAAGCAATGTCTGTTGAACAGCTGACTCTCTCCAAGCTATTTGGGCTTCATTCTTCACACTTGTGACCCCCCCCCTAACAATTTGCTCTTCCTGGCACCCACATTTTGCCTCTTGCCCTTACCCCTTACAGCTCCTGCCATCACCCCTTACTTCTCTCCACACAAGTCTATTCCTTTAACTTAAAAAAAAAAAATTTATAGCATCCCATTCCTTCCCTATTTATTTATTTTAAAGGCTGTTACATGTAGCCAGTTTTTGCAGATGGATTGGGGGATAAAGACAGTACAGTTGTCCCTCAGTACCTGCAGGGAATTGGTTCCAAGACTCCCCTGGATACCAAACTCTGTGGATTCTCAAGTCCCTTATATAAAATTGCAGAGTGGATTTCCCTGGTAACCCTGTGGTCAAGAATCCACCTGCCAATGCAGGGGACATGGGTTCAATCCCAGGTCCAGGAAGTTTCCACATGCCATGGGGCAACCAAGCCTGTGTACTACAATTACTGAGCCCGCACTCTAGAGCCCGAGAGTCACAAATACTGAGTCCGCACTCTAGAGCCCATGCTCCACAACAAGAGAAGCCCCCACAATGAGAAGCCCCCGTATCACAACTAGAGAGCGGCCCCTGCTCGCTGCATCTAGAGGAAGCCCATGCGCAGCAGTGAAGACCCAGCACAGCAATAGATGGGTTTTAAAATTGTAGGGTATTTGCATATAAACTGTGCACATCCTCTTGTACATTTTAAATCATCTGAAGATTTACCTACAATATGTAATAAAACGGAAATGCTATGGAAAGAGTTGCTGAGGCACACCCCAAATTTAAGTTTTGTTTTTTGGAACTTTCTGGAACTATTTTTTTTTTCCCCAAATTTTTCCACCTGAGATTGGTTTAAATCATGTTATGTGGAATCTGTGGACACAGAAAGCCAATTGTACCTTTTTAAAAAAAATTTATTTTAATTGGAGTCTAATTACTCTACAATATTGTAGGGGGTTTTGCCATATATTGACATGAATCAGCCATGGGTGTACATGTTTACCTTAATCTAGTTAGAGTTTAGTCTGTAGTATGTGCTCATTGTGTTGTTACAGTAATTGTTCCCCTTGTCTCCCACAAAAGGCTCTCCAGTGTATTCATTTTTAACAAAAAGTGAGCTGCAACTATGTGCCATGGGGTCTATTGCCAACTGGACACAAATCCTAGTCTTTAAAGAACTGACAACTTGGCAGGGAGGCAACCCCACCCCCACCCCGCAAAACCCAAAAAATGCCCACAAGGAGATATGTTAGGAGAGAAGAGCTATGAAGGAAAAGAACGAGGGTCAGGGAGACCAGTCTGGAAAGGACAGCGTCTGTTATATAGAGTGGACAGGCAGGGGCTCCATGCTAAGTCGACCTCTGAGCGGAAACAGGACTGGAGAGAGGCAGCCATGGGGATTGACTGGGGGGGAAAGAGTTCCAGGCAGAGGAAACCCACAGAAGCAAAGTTCCTGGGGTAGAAATGTCCTTGACAGGATCAAGGAAGACCAGCGAGGCCAATGTGCTGGTGTAGCCTGAGCAAGGACGAGAAAGGAAGGAAAGATAAAGGCTGAAAGGGAACAGAGACCAGGTCACTCTGGGCGGTGTGGGCCATAGTGAGGACTTTGCATTCCCGAGTGAGGTAGAACCAGTGAAGGAAACGTTATCACTTCTTTAACGTGCAGAATTTAGGTCTCTTCCCTTTACTTCAGATCACAGCCTCCTCTCCCAGGTGATCAGGGGAACCAGCTAAACAAAGCGTGTTCTATTCACACAAGGGAATACTTAGCTACAGCTTAAGGAATGAGGTCACTCCGTATACTGATGGGACGAGATGGGACGAGACTACGTATGGGAAAACTGGAGTTTAAAAAAAAAAAAAAAAGCATCTTTACCCATAAGACGTGTGTGTGTGCGCGTGCGCGTGTCCATAAAATTAAAGACCACACCAACCTGTTGACACTGCAGACTGTATGCACTAGGAGGACTGAAGTAGAGGTTTCATTTCATACGTTTTTTAAAAAAAAACTTTTCCAATCATGTCAGTTGCAAGACACTCCTCAAATCGCCAACCATACCAAGAATCCAAGTTCCCAGGGGAGCCCGGGCCTCCAGGCCCCTCCTCCCTCGACCCAGGCGGGAAGCCAGCCTTCCAGCCTCTGCCCCGCCCCGCCTACCTCTCACTGCGCAGGCTCGGCCTCTAACTGGCGCCACGCAGACGTTTTCCCGGAACGCCCCCTTGTCAATCTCCGCGCTGGCCCCGCCTCCCACCCTGCGGCTGGGACTGAGTAGGCCCCGCCCCCGCAGCCACCACGCTCACCGCTGCCGCTCTGGCAATCCCAGCGGCTTCGCCTTCCTGCCCCGCCCACATTCGGGGAGGGGTCCTTCTCCCTCATGGCCCGCCTCTCGTGCTGTTCACAGAATTGCCTAACTCTAATGCAGGATAACGGGCCCCAATATTTGCTTGCTCTCATTTTCTCCGCCTCCCTCATCTCATCTCCTGTTAGGAAGATTCTTACTCTTATTTACCTATTTCCCTCCCCAAGCACCAAAGTACAGATTCCGACACCGGCGTCTCTGCTGGACGCCCCGGGGCGGGGCCCACCTGGCGCCGCGAGGCCGGTCGTGCGAGCGGCGCGCACAATAAAGCAGAGCGCGCTGCGGCTCGCACAGGCGTTGCGGAGAGTGGAGGTGAGCGTTCTGTTTTGTATGGTGTTTGCCGGACGGCACGCGTTGGGTACTCGGTCACGCGTGACGTGTGTGCCCGGGGCTGCAGCGGGGGCGGGCACGCCGTGGCGGGGACGGTGTCAGGACCTTCGTAAGCACTCAGCACCCGCGCCTTGAGGCGATCCCTGAGTGTTCCCTTCGGGGCGGCAGTGGCTCACTCGGAGAGGGTGATGGCTCCCTGGGGGCGCTCAGGGGGAGGAGTCCTGCCGAAGCGTAGGCGGACCCCTGGGGCTGGCCCTCCTTTGCGCCGCAGTCTGGCTGCGCCGTGTCTGCTGCCCACGTTTCAGGGCTCCGCCATCTTGTCAACTTCTGGGGGGAATTTGCGGGGTGGGGGTAGGTGGGGAGGGTAGGCTAAGGACATAGTCTTTCTGCCTGAGGTTTTCCACTCCAGTGTTAGCTTACACGTGCTTTCCTTAGGAAATCGTTCTTATGTATTCTGATTTCATGTGGCTGGAGTGTTTGTGCGATGTAGAACAGAGGCCGCGTGGGAGGTAGAGACAGGACCGCGAGGGTTGCCACGGAAGAAGTGGGAGTGGGATCTCTTAAGTGAATTACTGGGTTGTGTCAGAACCAGAGGGGAGTAGTTGTCGGACAAAGTAAATGGGGCCTTCGTTCACTTTCAGGAATCATTCTGACAGTCATTTAAATATCAGTTTTGTGCTTGCTCAGAACATCAGAGTTTTGTTAAGCGTTAGTTCTCGGCTAATGGGACTTTATGGATAGCGTTTTCCCGATTCCCGAATACCACACCTCCTCCAAGGAGATCCAGCCCAGGATTTCCCCACCACAACCCAGCAAGAATCTCGTCCAGCTTTGTTTCTCCTTTTAGAAAACAGTTAATTTTATCCTAACTGTTGCCTTGTCACAAGTGGAAGGCAGTTTCTCATCCATTCATCACTCTTTTGCCATTGTCCCATATATTGCCTTTTCGTTGTTAAAATCCCCAAACATACAGGGAAATAGACGCTTAACAGGACGTTTCGCCATGTTTGCTTTTTGTGTACTTCATGTTTTGGAAATAAATTTCTTAATTCATCCAAAATAGTTAACACAGTGTCTCTAAAATAGCATTTTCTCTATTTAATGATAATGTTGTCATCATCCTCGGTGAGATTGATTCCTTAAGGAGGCCATCTCCCATCTGCTCTGTGGTCATAGTTCCTGTCATTTCCAAAATGTCTTTCACTGTTTTGTTCAAAACTGGTGCGTTTTAAGGCTCTCTGGTGACTGCTTCTGCTGCTTGTGCTTCAGGTTTCACTTTTCCTCCTTATACACCGCCCCCCACCCCTGGACAGTTTCTTCCAAGGGATTTGCATCTTAGTGGTCACTGTTCAGGGTCAGCAGCCGGTAGAGTCAATGCTGGAAATCTGCAAAACTGGGCAAGGGGAGTAGTCAGCAGGTTCTCTCTACGTGATGGGTTTAGGACAGTCTTCTGTGGACCTGTGACACTGGGGAGGTGAGAGCATCTTGGTGTCACAGAGGGAAGGCTGTGGGCATTTGTACCCCGTAATGGATTTGTGTTTTCCAGTCTCTAGGCACTGTTAGCTTGCTTGGCTTCTGTCCCTGAAGGTGAGTGGCCCTGGGACCTGGTTGCAGAGGGACCCGGGCTCTCATGATGTCCAGCACTGGGCTCCGATTACCCCGTGAGGACACAGTGCCCCCAGGACCTTTGACACCTGGGGATCTGAGGGGCCTTGGTTTTGATGTTCTCTGGATTTCCCTCCCACCCCCCCCCCAAGACTTTCCTCCCCCACCCTCACCAAATCCTTCCTGTGTTACAGGTGTGTCTTCAAGCTGAGAGGCCACCCACCCCACCTTGGTAAGAACCCTTGCTCCCAGTACCTGACCCATCCAGATCTAAACTATCTCACCCTCATTTGGGATAACTTTGCATCAAACCTCTAATTTATCTGCCAACTGTCCTGTTCTTGGG